TGATTGTCAAATTCCCAATAAAATGAAAGAACGTTAACATTGAGTTTGTGAAACTTCTCCGGAAGTCTTTAAACATCTGATAAAAATCCGTAAAGTATACATAAACTGGAAACGGTTTAATTTAAAGGAATATATTGGTCCTACACAATGTTTTAAATGCTGCCAATATAGGAACATTTCAAAAACAATGTCAAACCGAACAAGCTCGTGGACACTGTGGAAAGGTGGGTCATTCCCACAAAAATTGCGAAAGTACATATCAGAAATGTATTAACTGTGCAGAACGAAATGCCAAAACGATCAGCAGCTAAATGACCAACATTCCAGTTTCTCCAAAGATTGTCCTAGCCGAATGCTAGAAATCGAAGAATTAAGAAAACAAATAAACTATGCATAATAACTCGAATAAAGAACAAATAAACTTAGCGAGATCACACGTAGCAGCTGCACAGTTAAAGACAAGTATTTTTGATTATGATATAATCTTCGTACAAGAACCTTACTGTATTGATGGAAAACCAGTAGGTTTCCCGATGCAATCAAAGATAATATATTCTTCTGGCTAACTTCCCAAGACGGCCACAGTAGTGGTTAATCCACAAATCACGGTGCTGAATGCTATTTCAACGCCGAATTTAGTTATAATAACATTGGAGATTGAACAAAGAACTCTTCCAATTTTAAATTGTTATAGTCAACCAATTACGGACTTGATAGATTTACTTAACCTCTTTGACTAGGTGGAGAAACTTATCTCAAAACCAAGATATAATCATCTTGGGAGATTTAAAGGCTAAAAGTGAATTATGGTGCTCTTCTTTCGAGGACCCAAGAGGTCGAACAGTACGAGAATCCTTAAAATCTCAAAGATTTGTATTAGAAAATTATCCAGATAGCCCTCCTACATATAATTGTACAAGGGGCAAGAGCTAAATAGATATTACGGCCTCACGCTATACCTTTACAAATGGCATAATCAAAAATTGGAGGGTCTTGGATAGCGTCTCCTTGAGTGATCACTGTTATATATATTTTGAAATCTCGTATAATAACATGACAAAAGCCTCACAATGTAAATATAAATTAGAAAAATGGGCTGGTTACTCCTTCAAATGGACTAAAAAAGTATAAGAATTATGTGACTTGGCCATTGAAACCAAAGGGAAAACTTTTAAATACTCAACATAAAGGTGTCCCATGGGGGGACTCAAGAATTGTCTATAAGGAGGAAAATAATAACAGCGGAAAGAAAGAGATTCCAGAGGTATATTTAAGACGAAGAGCTTAGAGAATTTTACAAATGGATTTACAAAAAAGACTTGGCCAAATGCAAACGAGAATTGTTAAAGGCAAAAAGGAATTCATGGAAAATGCATTTGGATAAAATATGTCCATATTCTCCCTTTGGTATCCATTACGAGATCGCTAAGGGGAACACTCGATCTCCCCTTCAATTTAAAGCACTACTAAAACCAGATAATACAAAGACCCAAACTATAGAAGAAACAATCCAGTTACTACTGGATCATCACTTTCCGAAGGATCGCCGACAGGACGATCTAATTGAACATGCTCAAATTAGAGATAACTTACAGAGAAGCTATGGAGCACAGGGCGATGATGTAATTTTACCCGACAAGAGGTAGAATATACTATTAGATCTCTAAATCCTGGAATGAAGTCTTATCTTCTGTGAAAATGGTTTCTTTAAATAATGTAATTATCTGTGATGTTCAATAGCAGTATTTATTTATATTCTCAGAAATACTGTCTAATTTAGAAGCTGCCGCCATTTTTCTCTATTTTTAATAGAAATGAACGCATTGTTGCTGCAATTGCTTCCGGTAAATAGAGTTCAATTATTAATGTAATAGATCTGAAGCAAATATCATAATTTTATGCGAGAAGTCTGGCTCCATTTTCTTTAATTTTAGCTTTATAATCAGACAACTGTTTAAATTTTTGGGTGCTTTACATCTTTTTAAATGTAATATTTTTTTTAATATAGTAGATTTAACCATTAGCTGGGGTATTATCATAGACCACGGTTGATTCGACGAATTGAAGACGGTTAAGAAAACACAAAAAAAGGAACAACTCATATTATTATTCACAGAAATTACTGCTGACAAATTTAGCTGTACTTTCAAACAATTTATTCTGGAAAATAATTTTATTTGGTTACATAAATTTAATCGATGATCAAAATGAAAACACTACAAATAAGGAAATAAACGTCTTTAAAAACGAAGAAACTAAATTATAACGTGTATTAAAAACAAAATTTAATACAAAAAGAACTTAAATAATGTCAGTGAGTACAAGCTCGCTTAAAAATGTAGGTTATAATTTTTATAGGCCGATGCATATATATTCAGGATTATGTATAATTAAAGGCCTCATTCAATTGAAACATTTAGTGACAGTTAATCATCATACGTCATCACTTGCGATTGGTTTTGCTTTTTTTTTATTCAATTGAAACACAACGATTACTCTGAGTTCGCGATTGATCGTTCTCGTAGCGATCACTTCGAACCCATCATTTCGCGGCGAAAAACGATCGAATCAATATGGCGGCTGTGTTGTTTGTACTTTCACGAGGACATAATTCAAGTGGTGTGCTAAGGAAAATGTTTTAGAACTACTGGGTGGGCAGCAATTTATATCAAAGTATAGGGTATACAAGGATCCTAGCAAGGGGAGCCGACTCATCATCTATGTTGTATCCAAATGAAGGGCGCTTGTAGCTAGTGGATATTGATTTAGCGTTATGTTGTTTACATTTGTATTGATAGATCTCGACCTAATTCCGAGAAATATGGGTGGATGAACTGCATCAAATTATTCATATTGTTCCAGAAATAACTTTAATATGTTCTGTTTCCCGAGAAATGAAGAAATACGAAGAAATTGGGTAATTAATTCTTGTCCATTGGAATGGATTCCGAGCACAGGAACGTGCGCTTTTGAAGTAAGCTCAGCTTCGTATGTTTTCCTAATTGTTAAAAAAATTAAATATTCATGTTTCAGCAAAATGTGTATTTTCATTTAAGTATTGCTAATTAATGACATATTGATTTATATGTTATTTTTGACCCTGTTATATTGTCGCCAAATCTGTCAGTTGTCCCCAATGTAAAAAAAAAAATGTAAACATCGGATAATATGATTAAAATTATGCATTATATAATTTTTCTTTTAAAGTAACATAAATATATCGTATTTATATTCATTTTGAAGAAAGTAAGCATCAATTTAAGTATTAAATAAATAATTTTGACCTTATTTTATACATCACGTAGACTATATTTCCAGCTCTTTCATTTAACTGCAATTCCTGTCAATTTATTTCCAATATGAACATGAAATATGAAGCTTAGTCACTCCGTTTTAATTTAATTCAGACAATTTCTTTCTTAATGTGTAATTAAAATAATTTAATAATATATGTTACTGTAATTTAATACTTTTGATTTTAATGTTTTCAGAAATTTGCTAAATCAGTTTATTTTTGTGTGACCTTTCATCAGAGGCTCCAATAATAAATCTTGTTTGGCATCCACGCTAAATTTTTAATGAAAACTTATTACTGATGTAAAAGCATGAAAAATTATATTTACTTCGTAATCAGTGTCTTATTTATTGAAATAATTAAAAGGCTTCAATTGTTTCGAGTCGCATTTTTCATATTTTCTTGTCACCTTTAGTTTTACTCTTCTATGATCAAATAAATATAAAGGTATCTTCAACTAAATATTTCTTTCATAGCATTAAGTAGCCATGATCATGTGGTTTGTAATTAAATTTAACATTATTCTTATATAGAGTTTATGTATTTATATAGATTTAATTTATATCATATGTATTATATAATTTTCCTTTTAGAATATATTACATTGTATTTTTTTTTTTAGTTGTTAATAGAGCTATAGTGTACATTTTGCATTAAAACGTCTTTTGAACCACCTTTTTTTCAGTATGCATGTAAAACTTACTTGACCTATATTTTTCACATGTATGTAAATTTATATATGTGATTTATGTGAATGGAATCTGTCTTTTAGGTTAGCTATTTTCGTAAAGGAATTAAAATAAAATAATACCCTTTTAAGTCTTTTCACGGATAAAACTTTGAAACAATAGCGCTGAAAAGCCAAAGAGGGCACACCAAACCTGAACTGCAACCCTAAAGAACGGTTACGAGGAGTCAGCCTGAATATATAGTAGTTCTATCATTGGTTATTTCAAAAACAACGCCATGGAGGTAGGAAGTCGTTTCCTACCTCCATGCATCGCACATCAGGTAACCTCTGGCAACCCCTACGAGTTCGACTGGTAAGGGAAGTGTTTCAACTGAATACAAAAAACACTCGTTTTCAAAAGTGATCACTAATGCTGGATGTCACGATCGCTGTTTGAGTGATCATCGCTGATTCAATTGACTGAGGCCTTAATTATGTGCGTCATTTCCCAAATATTAAAACATCACTTTACTATCACTGCGGATAATCGGGAGTTGACTGCACTTTGTTGCCAAATAATTATTCTTCTCTGAAATATTTTCTTTCGAAAGTTAAGCTTTCTTTCACCATTATCACATTCTAAAATATAGCTGACGGTTTAATTACATTATTTGTTTTTTAAATACAAAAGTTAGCTTGAATAAAAATCCAGAAATTCTTTCACAAACCAATCTTTTTGAGCATCTCGCGAGTTTCCTAAATTGTACATTTAAAAACCAGTTATTTAACTACTGAATATACTCGCAGTGCCATAAAAATGCCCTCATGATTATACGGAGTGATTCTAGTAAAATTAACGTCGATTATACTTACAAAATCCACGAGTATGTACAGAATACAGGACACTGCATTGAAATGTGGGACTGCCTGTCACAGTCTGGAATGTCTCTTTAGTATAACAGCATTTTAATAAAAATTTTAGTCTAAAAACAAAGATTAATAGGTTCATTCGTTGTAAACAAAAACACATTTTACCTCAGACTCGGGCTCTTCTATTAATTCAGCAATTCCTTTCGTTTCTTTCTCGTCTTCCTTAAAAAGTAAATAAAAAAAAAAAAAATGAACCTTATAGCAGTGGTGAAATATTTCTCCTTGTCTGATAATGCCAAATTCAAGTGCGTGTACAAACTTTTCAGAATTTATTATATCAATCATATCCAATGAAGCTCCAAAACGATAACTTGTGGTAGTGGTTATTAATACGTATGTAACTGCCTTATTAAAATATCAGCCATTTAGGGGAAGATTTTCGACGGAATATTTATTATTTTTTTCATTTAAGGAAAGTCCTGTTTCTGTTAGTGCAGTCTAGCTTTGGTGTGGAGTAACGCTCTTTGTTTATTACTTTAAATTTGATGCAGTCTGATTTTAGAGACTTACCTATATTCTTTTTACTGATTGCGTAAAAGCTTATTTTAAATAATCTTAAAAGAAGTATAATCAAAATCGTCCTCTACGTTTCTGGAAGACAAATATTTGTGAATAATGTATGATTAAAGTATTCTGTTAATTCAAAACAAGCAAAAAGCTAATCATATATTTTAAAAACAATTAGTCCTATAAAAATACTCAACCAATGTAATAAAAGTCTCGTAATACTTGCACACTGCTATGTTTTTCAATATATTGTTACGAATTTGGTATTTAAAAAGCTAATGTTAGTTCAATTATAAATTAAATGGTTTTACATCTCGCGCAGTGCAGCGCGTGACGAATATTAAAAGAAGCTAAGCCGGAAAATTAAAAATACAAGAGCGCGTGGCGTTAAAAATAAATATCTCTTTTTTTTCATTTCGAGAAAGTACTGAAAATTCTAGCGCGTGATTTTAAAATGTTTAAAAAAGGAAAACATCTCAGTTTGTAGTAGTTGCTTAGTTTGTTGTTGTTTAGAAAACTGCTGTTTGTTGATTATAGCGAATTCGCGGATTAGCGTTCTTTAGTGTTTGAATTACGTTCTTTGTACATTTGAGTAAAAGATACTACTGTATATTGTAATACTGCTGATATTTGAGAAAATTTAAGCATTTTTGTTGTAATAATAATAAATTTTTTATTCTTTTTCATCGGACTGTGCATTCATTTCATAACGAACCCGTACGCACGCAACAATTTTGGTGTCAGAAGTGGGATTTGATCACAAGAGGGATGGAAGAACAATTGAGACAGCTCATTACTTGCTTTGCTGCGTTCCAAGAAAAGATGGACTGGCCAATCATTTTAAAGAAGAAATTAAAGTGAAATGGATGCTAGTCAAAAATCTGCACCGGAAAGATTGAAGCGGGACAGGAAGAAATGAAATTGGGCCAGGAATCCCTTTGAAAATGAAAACGGCACAGGAACAAATGAAATTGGGCAAGAATCCGTTAAGGAGAGATGAAGGCCATTAAAACTGGTCAATTAACTTTTAAAGACGAATAAAGTTGTTAAGGAATCTGTTAAAGAAGAATAAAAGCTGTACAATCAAGATTGAAGAAAGTCAATGCGAAATGGAAAGAGAAATTGCCTGCATAATAGAAACCAAATTCGATGCTATGGAAGGCAGAATAGATTGGTTGAGATAAAGTGGACAAATTGAGGAAAAATTTTTCTTCTGTTAAAGAAGAAATAGAAGGAAGAGTTTGTTCCGTTCAGAAACAAATCGAACAACAAATTCATGACCGGGTTTCTGCGGTTGCCAAAGAACCGGAAACTCTAAAGAAATTCGTAGCGACGGCAAGAGTAAGAGTGATAATTTTAAATTCTTACCGATGCTTGCTCGTCCATCTCTGAAGCTATCCGCATAAGATGGGAAGACATCCTGGCAAGTGTATAAGACCCAGTTTTCTATCGTGGCGGATGCGAATGGATGGGATTCCCAAGCTAAGGCCTGTCATCTCGCCGCTTCTCTGAGAGCAGACGCAGCGGATATCCTGCAGACGCTTCCCGAAAATCAAAGGCTAGATTTCGAAGCTCTATCCGGCGCTTTGGAGCTGCACTTTCGGCGAGAAATGTGTTAAAAGACTACAGCAGGCTCCAATTAAAATCCCGTCAACAGAAGCTCCCGAAACACTTCAGGAGCTCGCCACGGATGTTGAAAGGCTGTCCACATCACGCCTTTTCGGAGTGCCCGACAGAAAACAAGGGAAATCCTGTCCCTGCAATATTTCATCGATGGCATCTGGGACCCTGAAATACAGAAAGCACTGCGAATGGCGGATGTTAAAGATCTGAAAAAGCGCTTAGTGTACGCCATGAAATTCGAGGCAGCCCAGCAAGCCACCCGTCGAGACCGCCATCCAGTCAGAGCTGCTCAAGTCCAGGAAGCCAGGGGATCAAGTCATGCCCGTCTAGACGATTTAACTAGACAACTGAACGCCTTGAGACGGAATATTGGTGACAAGAAACCGACCTGTAAGTGCTGGAACTGCGGTGCTGAAGGACACATAACGACGAAACTGCAGAATACCCCAGGGTACGGATGTTAAGACCGCTTCCTAACAAACAGCAGGGAAACTAATTAGTGCCATCTCGCGGGGAGGAGGTTGCCAGATAATGAAAAGCCCCAGTTTAAAGCGTTTCAGATTTCTGCAGTGAGAGGCGGCAGTAATGGGACTTTTTCATAATAGGACATATTAATAGAGTTCCCTGCAATATGACGATAGATACAGGAGCCAACGTTACCATCATCCGAAAAGATTTGGCTCAATAACTGGGAAGCAAACTTATCTGGACGCCCGCCCTGCGTTACCCTACAGACTGTGTCCGGTGAGAAGATCGACGTCGATGGAAAAGTAAATGTTAACATCACGTTTGGAAGTGCCGCATACCATCACACGGCATATGTAGCAGAGATCACTGATTCTTGCATACTCGAATTGGACTTTCTAAGGAAATACAATTTTTCCTTGGACTTTAAAAATAACGAATTGCATTCTACATCTGAGGACATAGCGTTATTTGGAGTTAATAATGAAGAAGTTAAATCTGTCCATAAAATGATAGCACAAGACAATATCACAATATCGGCAAGAACAGAAATTTTACTTCCTGGATCCATAGCCGAAAACAGAAATTTCCGTTACGGCATCATAGAATATCCCAATAACTGTAATAGCCCAAAAGGAGTACTAGTAGCCTCAACACTCGTCGACCTATCCAGAACGGTTATCCCGGTGAGAGTCGCCAATGTAACTGAGAAGGGTAGAATTATTAAGAAAAGTGAAGTGGTTGCAGCATGTACTCCAGTAACCACCGTTGAAAGAAAGAGTAACATCCAAGGATCCGTGTCCTCAGTGAGCATTATTGAGTTATTGAATGCGCAATTAAACGATAAAGAGAGGAATGCTGACAATCGCGTCATTAAAGATCTTCAAGTTGTTTTCTCCCGCTCGTCTTCTGACGTGGGTCGAACTAGTTTGACACAACATAGAATAGATACCGGCGATCATCCCCCGATCAAGCAACATCCAAGACGTCTACCGTTTGCTAAACAGGAAGAGGTGCGAACACTTTTAAAAGATATGTAAGAAGGCGATGTCATCGAGCCTTCAGTAAGTCCATGGGCATCTCCTATCGTCCTAGTCAGAAAGAAAGACGGCTCAACAAGATTTTGCGTTGACTATCGCCGGTTGAACGAGGTTACGAAGAAAGACAGTTACCCTCTTCCTAGAATTGACGACATTCTAGACACTCTTTCTGGAAGCAAGTGGTTCTCAACACTTGATTTAAAGAGTGGGTTAAAGAGCAGGTAGAAATACAGCCTGAAGACCGAGAAAAGACGGCGTTTACTACGGGACAAGGGCTTTGGCAATTCAAGGTGATGCCGTTTGGACTATGTAATGCGCCAACAACATTCGAACGTCTTATGGAGACTGTTTTGAAAGGCCTTTCCTACGAAGCCTGCCTGATATACCTGGATGACATCATCATCGTCGGAAAGAGTTTTGAAGAACATTTAGAAAATCTTAGGAAGGTGCTTCAGAAACTGAAAGAAGCCAATCTGAAGCTGAGTCCCGCTAAATGCAAATTGTTCCGAAAGGAAGTGACTTATCTGGGACATGTCATCTCTGCAGAAGGTGTGCGCACGGATCCTGAAAAGGTATCAGCGGTTAAATCCTGGAAACGTCCCGAAAATGTCCATCAGCTGAGAAGCTTCCTAGGGCTTTGCACCTTCTATAGGAGATTCATGAAGGACTTTTCTTCCATCGCAAGACCCCTTCACAAGCTGACAGAGAACAACCAAAAGTTCTTGTGGACAAAAGAATGCGAGGGTGCATTTAACAACTTAAAGAAGGCTTTAACATCTGCTCCAATCCTGACGTATCCTCAGCTCGACCGACCATTTATTCTCGACACCGACGCGAGCAATGAAAGTGTCGGTGCTGTTTTGTCCCAAGAAATAGACGGCCAAGAACGTGTAGTTGCGTACTGGAGCATGTGCCTGTCTAAACCGGAGAGGAATTATTGTGTCACCAGGAAAGAGTTGCTCGCCATAGTTAAAGCTGTAGAACAGTTCCATCACTATCTATACGGCAGAAAATTCCTGCTCCGCACCGATCATGCATCATTGACTTATCTTTTAAATTTCAAGAATCCTGAGGGTCAAATAGCCAGGTGGATACAGAGACTCCAAGAATATGACATCACTATCCGTCATCGTAAGGGATCATCACTCGGAAACGCCGACGCCCTGTCTAGAAGACCTTGCCAAGAAAGCTGCCGATATTGTTCCAGGGTGGAAGCGAAATACGAGCTGCTGACTCCCGTCGCAAGACAAATTACAACATCAACATCGGCTGATCGAGACCGTGGAGTGATGATGAAGTCAGGAAAGACCAGATGGAAGACCGTGACATTAAACCCATAATTGATTTAATGGAGTCATCAACCAGAAAACCTACCTGGCAGGACATTTCTATCTGTAGTCCTACAACCAAACAGTATTGGGCACTCTGGGATTCACTTCACATTCGAAACGGCGTCTTATACCGGAAATTCGAATCGGATGATGGGAAGACGTTCCGATGGCAGCTGATACTTCCAAGATCCCGCAT